AATACACTTAGAGCTATATCCACCGGAAAAAGTAGCAATTAACTTCCAAGAAACACCCCCGCACTTTTGTCGAGATAATATGGACGCAGAGAAAATTTGTTTTAGAAATCCTGCGTCAACAATATAAGCAATACGATCGGAGGAGACGAAAGTGGATCGCATTTGGCAAAAAGGAACCTGCGCGATTGCAGTGTTGCTTCTATCGTATTTATCTAAAAAATATCCCAGATGAGGAAATAGTTTTTGTTTCCAACCATAAACTTGTTAATTTTAAATGTAAATTTTTGTACTGTATACGTGTATTAAGTATTTCTAAGAGAAAAGGAGAAGTTGCAGTTTTAAAAAATCTGTAATTGAGCTAGTTCCTTTTTGTTCCATTCGATCCAAGTTACATTCGGATTTTAACGCTACTTTGCGCCCAATGGTGATTGATGAACAACTTTTTGAGTGAAGAATCAAATTTTTGCGGTTTTGTGCGGAAACTTCAAAATCGGAAATTTCGTGCGGAAACGTCAACTTACCAATGGAGATGTTGCATGTGTGAGGAATTTGCGATTCGACTGTTGATTATTGTGTAAAAGTTCGCGAGAAACACGATGGTGCCACTGGTTTTCTCTGAAATCAACTCCCAAGCTCAAAAAAAGCTCTCAAGTTGAGGCCAAAATGGAGGGTATATCCCACGCTATCCTGAGAGTCCACCTCTACACCAAGACAATCTCTCCATGCAAAGATAGGGAGCAAATACATTGACAGGGCGGCCACCTTATTTGGGGACTCTAAAACTGAAATCACGGCAACCCTGCTAATGTATTTGCTCCCTATATTTGCATGGAGAGTTTGTCTGGATGTAGAGGCGGACTCTCAGGGTAGGGTGGGATATCTCCTCCATTTTGGCCTCACTTTAGTCACTTAAAGAGCTTTTTTTGAACTTGGGAGTTGATTTCAGAGAAAACCATTGGCCCCATCGTGTTTCTCGCGAACTTTTACATAAGAATCAATGGTCAAATCACAAAAATTCTCACACATGCAACATCTCCATTGCGTTGCGTCCGTTGTTTCTTGCGAACTTTCATCTAAGAATCAACAGTCAAATCGTAAAATCCTTACACATGCAACACCTCCATTTAGGGACACCCTGTACAGCCAGTGCCAGTGCATCGCGGTGCAGCACGGAAAGCGACGCGGAGTCGACACCAACTTTTCCGATCGCTCCGGATTTGATCGATGACGCTCGGTTCATCCTTGATGGCTTCTGAGCCGCGTCGTCACTCCACTCGGTCGGGTCGGGGGCTGCAATTTCGAGTCCCGTTCGGATGACTTTCCCGGAGGAGCCGCGGCGGCGGGGGGCGGAGGTTGGAAGGGCGTCTCCGGACTGTGACGCACTCGCCGCTAATGAATCCGGCATCGGATTTCCGCGCCCTCGTCAGCGTCAAGCGGCGTCCAGGGATGCAGGGATGAGCTTGATCGGAGCTTGGATTTCCGCCGATTCCGCCCGGGTCCCCATGCCCGATGCCCCTTCGTACTCGACACCGCGGATCCGAGCCGTCACCTTTTAATTTAAACCTCTCGTCGATTCCCCCTTCGACCCCCGCCTCGCGAGGTCGAGAGCGTTCTCGTTAGGCGATGGCTCGGGTGACGTCAAACCTGGTTGTACGTGTTTCGTCGTAGAGATACGGATTTTTTGGGGGAAAAATCAATGTTTAAAAAAAAATCGATTAAATATCGATATAGTAACCGAATCGACTTCGATTTTTCTGAGTATCGATTCGTAAAATAGTGACGGGTCCACACTATTTCCGGGAAACACGAGGCCAAAAAGTTGAATTAGAGTAAAAAGTGTTGAGCTCTGATTTTTTCTCTGCTAAAGCTCAATCTACACTATCAAACTTTTCATCCAACTCTTGGATGCAACTTGTCGAATAAAAAGTTGGATAGTGTGATACTGACGAGAGAAAACGACAATTTGATTAAAAATTGAACGGAAAGTTGAACGAAAAGTTGGAACGAAATCTTCCGACCGACATACGCCGAAGCTGAATATCCTCGCGAACCGCATGGCTGATGGCGATATCACACTGCAACGGTATATTTGAATCAAATTTTTTTGCGTTCGGCTTTCCATCCAGCTTTTCATTCAATCATGTCGCATGAAAAGTTTGATAGTGTGAATTGGGTTTAAATAGTGTGGACCAAGCACTATTTTACCACCTTGTTGCATAGAGTTCGGGTCATGTTTCAAATTATTTCTCCTCGTTTCCACTCGCAAAAGGCGGGTCTCCTCAAGCCTCTTGTGCTTTTTCAGGTCATCACCAATCCATAGTCTTCACATCGTTGTCCAAAGGCATAGAGTACATAGAGTCGTAATGTAAGCGGGTGAGTCGGCGCCACGTTTAAGCATTATCCAGGTCCCGAATTCCGAGACTCCTGTGTGACGCCGGGTCACTTTTTCGATACATAATCGATTTTGTGCGATACACGGGTACCCGGTCATTCGATATAAACAAAGAAAACAGGAATCACCACGTATTCCACACCACCATTTTGGATCGAACATGTATTGAAAAAGTGACCCGAACTCGGCGCACACTGGGCTCGGATCTCGTCGAGCAGAACATGGCGCCAGCTCTTCCATTTACATTACGACTCTATGTACTCTATGCCCAAAGGTCATTAGCATCGAGAACGGATCGCGAATCGCACCATCCGCGGGCGGCGGCGGCACGAGCGCGCTAAACGATCCACCCCTCATAATTATGCCGCCCAAGTTACGGATCACCGAAATTCGGGGCGCTCCCGCAGTCCCCGGCCCCGGCCCCGGCCACCCCCCTCGGGCGAAAATAAAAACTTTTTCAATTAGGCGGCCTATCGAGGAGCCCCGAACCCGGGGACGCACGAAAAACTTCATCCTCCTCCTCGCCCTGGGCCCTGGATTTTATGACAAATGCTCGGACTTGGCTCGGATCCCGCCCGGGGCTTCTTCCCGGATCATCATTTTTCATACCCCCCCCCCCCCCCCCCCCCTTNTCCACCCCCTTCGAAACTTAGCAGGGCTTCACCTTTCCTTCTTTCATTTCCCTACCGCCCTTTCTCGGGTCCGCCGTCGGTTTGTTTTGTTTTTTCCGCCGGGCGCAACTTCCGATCCTATTCCAAGACGTCCTTCTAAACTTTCTGATTCTTAAACGAGGATGGGATATGTTGCTTCTTGTCGACAACACTGGAAAAAAAAGCACATTGGGTCTGGAGTCCAGACTCTTAAAAACATCGACAAGAAAAAGTACTCTTGATTCAATCAGAATCTAGCTTAAATCAAGAACCAAGCATCTTAATTTAAGCAGATTTCGTTTCGATTCAAGCAAAAATCCGATTGAATCAATAAGAGTATATTTTCTTGTCGATGTTTTCAAGAGTCTGGACTCTAGATACAATGTGTTTTTTTTTCCAGTGAAGAGATACAGCCGCGTAGATATAGGTGTACATGCACTGAGAAAACATTATGGTTATAATTACCATATCAGTGGTGTTCAATATGAACTCTTAATTAGTAATTGCCGTAACCGATAATAGAGATATTTTTACCATTAAATGGTAATTTTACTCTAACGCACATTTGTATAATTACGATTGCTCCAGTAAAAATATCACTATTATCGGTTATGGCCACTACTAATTAAGAGTGCATAATTCATTACTGAAGAAAAATAATGAAAATCTTGAATTCTTGATGTGGTGATGGATGACAACGTAAAAATACAACTATACGTGCTCAGGAGTTTTCCGTGTTGAGTGTAAAATGACGAAGGCGTTTTGGCACTGCTCATCCTCACAAGGCGCATTTCTCTATCTGTACAAATCTAATCTGCGCAAATCAATCGCTCAGGAATCTAAACGTGCACTACACATTACGCAAAGAAGAACTTTCATAGAGATGAATAGTAGAGTTCAGACTTTTCTAATGTTACCATGGTGATTATTCTTGCCATTTTACTTACTCCTATGAAGTCTAAATCAGGCTCTACCTCTTGCGTGCAACACTGCAACAGACCTATTCATTCCATTTCTTTTGGTTTTTTCTTTAGGAGAAGGACGTAGTTTCAAGATTGGAGCTATTTTGCGTTAAACGCTGAGCGCTTAAATCAATTGCGTCCGCTCATCCGTATCCAAGGACCCTCATTTATCAATACCCAATCCCTTTCGGTGTATTTTTCAAAGGAAATACACCAATTTCCGTCTTTTCCGCTACTGAAATTACCGGCCGATCCAATGCGCTGGCAAAAAGCGCATGCCTTTTTTTTTTTTTTTTTTTTTTTTTTTTTTTTTTTTTTTTTTTTTTTTTTTTTGCAAAAAAAGACCGGACCAGAAAGTCAGTTTAATCGCTGAGAAACTGGATCACATTTTATCCACCGCTGACAGGGCTCTATAAAAAATTCTCTGATGCTAAAACGTTAAACGTGATGGTAAAACGTTTCAACCGATAACTGATCTTTACCAGGAAACTTTCTCTAACAATACCTGGGCTTTTTACCAAGGAACTCTTTCTATTTTCAACTTTTCGGTGAGAATAACTAAAAATTGCCCCTGAAACTATTCATTTTTTAAAACCGAGGACGATTTGTATCAAATTAATTCAAATAGTAGAGACAAACCAATAAATGCTGAGTCCCAGACAGAAAAAAAGTGAAGTTGATTTATCTTTCTGGATGTAAAAAACTAGCGCGGGTACTCACAAAATGCTAAAGTAACTGCTGTAGCAGTTATTTCAGCATTTTGTAACTTCTCGCACATTTTTTTTTACATCCAGGATGATAAATCAAATTCACTTTTTTCCGGTTAAATATTCATCAGTGCCCTGAATTTTGTGCATCAAGCGCAAAATTGAGAACACCAATCAGCAACGGACTTACAACCCCCACAGCGTGTGATTTTGGCGTCACTATCTGATAACACCCGTATTTCCAGGCCGCAAAACCATAATTGGAAAGAAAAGTTAGGAGGAGACTCACCAGTATCGGAGGCGCTGCGGGGGGAGAGCTCCAAGGAGCGCTTCTTCCTGGGGCTACTGGGGGAGCAGCCCATCCCTTCGGGGGTCCTTGGGGGAGCGTCGACCGAGTCCGAGAGAAACGAAGGCGACGGCCCTGAGAGCTCCTTCCACGGGCATCCGACCAACACCGCACACCAGCACACCACACCGATCCCACCTCGTCACACACACAATCCTCCCGGGAGATCTCGATCGATCTCGCGATCCAAGATCCGAGCGTTAAGTATGAATCAAAAGTAGATTCAACGCCGAAAGCACGGCTTTAGAGTCCTGGGTAACGCTGCCATTACGCTATCGTTGCTGCAAACAGAGATGAAATATCTTGGAGACCTTCTTCTAACATTATTGAGGTCTACGACTCACCAAAATTTTCAGCTCAGCAGGCTGATTATTGAAATTGATAGACAAAGCAATAGAGAAAGAAGACAAAAAGAATATGGAGGGATCCTATTGGTGGAAGCGGGTGGTTGCAATGGACAAAGGACGTATAGGTAATAGACTAATTAACGGCAACCCACGAGAGACCCGATTGTTAGTCCATAATTTTAATTTACCTCCTTAGTCTATAAGAGCCACCCATTTCAACCAATAGGATCGCTCTATACTCCTTATGTTTTCTTTGTCTATAGCTTTGTCTGTAAATGTCAGTAATCGGCTCGCAGGCTGATTATTGAAATTGATAGACAAATTTGGATCTAGAGTCCAGACTCTTGAAAACATCGACAAGAAAAAGTACTCTTGATTCAATCAGAATCTAGTTTAAATCAAGAACCAAGCCTCTTAATTTAAGCGGATTCCGTTTTGATTCAAACAAAAATCTGATTGAATAAAGAGTATTTTTTCTTGTCAATGTTTTCAAGAGTCTGGACTCTAGATCCAATGTGTTTTTTTTCCAGTACGCAAGCGTGGTGACGACTCTTGAGTCTGCAAGATATTTTGTCGTGGGTTACGCTAAATGACGAGCAAGAAAGGTTAAAAATCCGACGGTTCGCAAGGAGCCCGTCCGTTTTTTCCTCACTCGACGTGACTAGCGGCTCGGCGGATTAAAGGACGTTGTCGAGACCTTGCGGACCACGGGAACACGGCGGCGGCACCGCACCGCGCGGAATTCTCGCACTTGAAACGCGGCTCCGAGCGATTACAACACACGCCCAACGCACCCGGGTGCCTTACTTGTCACTACTGCTACACTTTCCAGATCCGACCCGGCTTTGTCCAGCGCTGCCGATCCCATTTACCCGAACTTCACGTAACGAGCACCGGAAAATCCACAGACAGTCTAGATGAATAATTTTACACTGGAAAAAAAAAACACATTGGATCTGGAGTCCAGACTCTTGAAAACATTGACAAACAAAAGGACTCTTGATTCAATCAGATTTAAGCTTAAATAAAGGAAATTCGCGCAAATTAAGAGGCTTGGTTCTTGATTTAAGCTTAAATCTGATTGAATCAAGAGTACTTCTTTTTGTCGATGTTTTTAAGAGTCTGGACTCCAGATCCGATGTGTTTTTTTTTTCAAGTGCATCCGATTACTGCCGTGGTACGGAAAAACGCCGTATCAACCCTCAAGCGTTGCCAAATTTTCTATGAAAAAACACGAATTTCCTGGTAAACTTAGAAGTATTTTTCTTCCAATTTTTCAGATGATTTTGTTCTCAATGTCAGTGAAAGCTCCTGAAACTTTCAAAGCAAAATACTCATAACTTTCACAGAATGAACATTTTATCGGAGGAAATTTGGCAACTCTCAAATGTTCATACGGTGTTCTGCCTTAGCACGGTAGATTAGTCCTTAGAATGCCAGGAATTTCCGGTTTAAATAATAATTCCTGAAGAAAAATTTAGCGAGAAACACGATGGTGACACTGGTTTTCTCGGAAATCAACTCCAAAGTTCAAAGAAGCTCTCAAAGTTGATCACTATTTTTGCACAGAGAGTATGCTTTGATATAGAGGTGGACTCTCGGGGTATAGCGTGAGATATCCCCTCCATCACTGCCTCAACTTTTGAGAGCTTTTTTGAGCTTTAGAGTTGATTTCAAAGAAAAACAATGGCAACATCGTGTTTCTCGACATTTTGCAAAGGAGCCAGTGCTTAAATCGCGCATTCCTGACGGACTGCCTGTCGATATCTGCGTATTGTGCATAGTTCTGCACAATTTGGCGGCACTGCCTTGGTCGCTTGGCAATCCAAAGGACGCGTGCCGTTAGCCGTTATCAGGTGACCTGCTCCACTGCCACGATGCGATGCTGACAATGAGTTTCTGATATCTCCACCGCCGCACAGTGGATCGAGTCAACAGGAGAGGTCGGACAAAATTTGGAAACTTTTAACGCTTAAAACTCCGTTGATACAAAACTTTGAGCTTTTGAAAGTGGCTCCATTGGTTTCCTCTTGGAATTTTCTTCTATAACCACCCCGTCAAATTTAAAATGTGACGAAATTAACGTCAAAATTTGCAGTTCCAGTCAAAAATTTCATGTCCGACCTCTCTAACTGACTCGATCTACTGTGTGCCGCTTTGCACTGCAAACCGCACTCCTGGCTAACAAGGCGCAAAAGGAGCGCAGCGCTTGGCTCAAGTGATCGAAATTAGACACAAACTAGTAAGCGTTAACAATTTCACACTTGTAAATCTTACTAAATTCTCTCGTTAATTTCTGGTTATTAGTTCAATAGAGTACCTCCTACTTTGAACCAGTTCGTCGAAATTTAGATTCATAATGGCCTTGATGTGGGCGATAAAGCGAATTTTGTCGCATAGTGTCTGCCAAACGTAAAAAAAATGAAAATATGTCAACTTTGCATGGCTTCTCTATGTAAAAAGTAAATAAATATTACGGTCGCGCCGCAAGTAAATCTCATCTTACCCACCTCTTCCCCTAGAAAATGTTATGAACAGGTGAGGCGTGCTCGCATCTTGCGGGCATAACAAGGGATTTCAAGTGAAGCAGAGGAGTCTAAAAGAATTTAAACGTTAATTTTGACATTCGGTAGAGTCGGATTGTCATACCTCATCTTCTCCCTGGTCGAACAAAACCGATTGTGAGTTAAAACACATTTGCCTGATACAGTTATACGGCTAAAATCGATTTATTGCACTGTTGAATAACAACATTCCTATTATTATACGGTTCACAGACTCGGACATTGTGGCTCTATAACAAGTCTGCTGGTACACTGGAAAAAAAACACATTGGATTTAGCGTTCAGACTCTTTAAAACGTCGACAAGAAAAAATTATCTTTATTCGATCGGATTTTTGCTTAAATCAAGAGCCATGCCTCTTAATTTGAACGGATTTCCTTTTGATTTAAGCTTACCTAAATCTGATTGAATCAAGAGTATATTTTCTTGTCAATGTTTTCAAGAGTCTGGAGTCTAGAGCCCATGTGTTTTTTTTTTTTTTTTTTTTTTTTTTTTTTTTTTTTCAGTGCAGTATGACTGAGTTTACACAAAGGAGAATCTAAAACGTGGTAAGTCGGCGTAAATGAGTTTGATAAAATAAGTGGCGACTATGATAAGAACCGAGCAATGGAGTTAACAAAAGTGTTCATTAATTCAGCGATTATCGCGATTATCTTAAGTCACGCAAAATGGAGACCTAAGGCAAGATGTTTCGTTCAATATTCTAAGGAGGAGATTAAAGTATTTATCAGTCCAAATCACACTCAAAGGAGACTATCTTAATTAGATTGGCACGCATACTTCTTTTACAGCGAATAGACCGAGCTTAAAATTGGGTGACATTAATTTATCAGGTGGGTCTTAATATCACGGCCACGCAATTAAAAACAAATTACAAAGGCTCGTACATTTTTCGAATGAGAGCACTTTCGAACTGCGCGAGATTCCGTTCAAAGTTCCAAACGAGACAATTATTACAAACGCGCGAAGTGATGGTCCGCAAGGCTCAACAAGTTTTTTTTCGACGCGACCCGATGCTGAATTAAAGGTTACTCCGCGGTTGTAGCTACTTATATACAAAGCCCGCAAAGGAATGAGCGGAACTCATACGTAGCATTTTCAAAGCTTTGAATTTTGAAAGTTTTGACACTCTACTGTTCACGAGTGTTCATTTATAGCGGCTGATTGCGAGACCGAAAATCTACGATAGCAAGCGCACACAATAGTTGACAAAGCAAAAAGCACGCACAATCTTCATCAATAATTAGTCATCGAGATTGTTATCCTGGCAATGTCTTCCTCTTTAAAATTCCTGATTTTCCTTGAGGAATTCTCTCGGCGCAAGGCCGGAACACAAACTTATCCCAAACGCGATGTTCTTCCTTGATGAGGCACAATTTCGATCCGAAAAAGCATAGTTGCCTTTTATCGCACACCGTTCACAGTCAGCTGTTAAAGTAAACAGAAAGGAATATCACTAGGATGTTGGGTTGTTTGCCATTGGACGTATTACGTAAACATCATGGGCTTTTCATTTTGGGCTGTGAAAACCTCAGATCATTCAAACGCGAACAGAGTTCTATACTTGATGTTGAAAATTCTCGAAAAAGCACGTCTTGAGACACTGTTTGTCTGCCGGCTAATCAGATAGGTTTTTTCGCAACGATTGAAGTAAACCATTCACGAGTTTGTTATTATCTTGAATAGAGAAACGTATTTTACGTATTTCTTATTTATACTTTATGAATATGCATATTATCACAGACTTTCCGACCGTTCACAAAGCTCGAATTAAGGTCTTTATTCCTTCAGGTACGGTTGCCGGCTGATCACACTTTCCGCAAAATGAGAGAAAAAGAAAAGAAAACAAAAAAAATCTTACGATATTACCTACTTTTATATACCAGAGAAAAATTCGCACATGTTCTTAGTTGAACTTCACCAGTCCGCACATTCTCGTAAACTTTTGAAATTAGGGATCCGACTGGGATCGAAGCTTCGGAGCGAACTTTCTAAGAGAACGAAAAAGCAACCACGATACCTAACCTCGAAACTTGAACGCGCACGAAAAGTCGAGCTCCCGCTGCGGCGACGAGCGAAGAGCGCACTGCCCGGCGCGACTGGAGGACTGCTCAACACTAGCGGCTTGGCTTCCCGCTGGCTGTCGCCTCGATTCCCCCCCCCCCCCCNTTTGCTCCGGCCCTGCACTACCGGCCGAAAGCTCGCGACTTTGCCTCGCCACTTTCACTGCGCCTCAGGGCGGGGGCGGGGGGTATTGGACTATCGAAATTGGCCGGTCGCGGACGGACGCGTGTGTTTCGCACCGCACCGCGTCGACCGAGCATTCGATCGGAGTTATCGGTTACGGGCAGTGGTGAGGGAATTAGTTTTTTGTCTCGGATATTGCACTTGCACCGAAAAAAAAGTGAAGTTGATTTAACACACTGGAAAAAAAGAAAAAACACGTTGGATGTAGAGTCCAGACTTTTGAAAACATTGACAAGAAAAAGGACTCTTGATTCAATCAGATTTAAGTTTAAATCAATAGGAAATCCGCTCAAATTAAAAGGATTGGTTCTTGATTTAAGCTAGATTCTAATTGAATCAAGAGTACTTTTCTTGTCGATGTTTTTAAGAGTCTGGACTCTAGATCCAATGTGTTTTTTTTTTCCAGTGCAATCTAGATGTAAAAAAATTGTGAGGGAATTTTTAAAATGATGAATTACCCGCCCTAACTGTAGGTTTTACATCTTGGCATTGCTAAAATAACTGCTGTAGCGGGGAATTCAGCATTTTATAAGTTCTCGCACACTTTTTTTTACATCTAGAATGTTAAATCAACTTCACTTTTTTTTTCGGTGTAGAACTGTCGTTGTTGGTTAATTATTTGGAGTAAAAATACAAAATTAAAAATCCTGAAGACCACGCGAAGGAATTCCCCTCTTCCCCTCGAAGTTACTGTAAAAAAAAGTTACGGGATATTCAGACATACCGTCCGTTTCGGGCTCAGAAACCGAAAGTTCCGGGTGCTGGAGCCGTAGCTTTAATCGTGCGGATGCTACGCCCGGAACTTTTGGCATCCAAGCCCGCAACGCGGACAGTATGTCTATAAAGCCCGTAAATTATACGGTTTCCACGGTCCCAGTTTTTTTTTTATTTTTCAGTGCATCATTTCAAGAAGTTAACCTCAGAAATACAACACTGAAAATTGAGCGTTTCAGAAATCACAAATTTAGACACGCATTTCGAGAAACTATTTTAAGATCTAGATCTGCAGTTTCAGTCGAAAATTGTATGTTCGAAATCTCTGCAAGCCTCGCTTCATTTCGCAGCGGGCTTCAATTCTTCATTTATATTTCGAGGACATCTACTGTGCTACGGAAAAACGCCGTATGAACACTCGGGAGTTGCCAAATTTTCGCACATAAAATGCTTTTTGAGGAGGGTTATGCATATTTTCCCCTGAAGTTTTCAGATGATTCAGATCTGGTCGCGAATAAAATTCTCTAAAGTTTTTTTTCTTCTTCCATTCTTTCTTTAAAAATGTTTCCAGAATTCCGTGTTGCTCTCGGGATGATGCCATATCAGATTACCTCCTCATCTTTATTTACTAGTTTTATAACCTTTGCTCCTATATCTCTTAAAGAGTTTGTAAACTTCTCGGTCGTTTACATTACTCTTCCTTAATTTATATTATTAACAATGTGTAAAATTCTTGTATTGGAGAAGGTCACAATAAATGTTTAATGAAAAAAAAAAGAATTCCCTGAATATTTATATTCTGTCATGGGATATTTGGCAACGTCTGAAGGCTCATACGGTGTTCTTCCTTAGGACGGCAGAATTCGTGCCTTGGAGATATTTTTGTAGTTGCCATTTTGGATCGTCGCAGTGAGCCCGCGGTTGGCGCGACGAGCCGCGAGTGAAGTGGTGAGTGCCAGGATAGTCAAAACGCCTTCAGTTTCGTGCGTATGCAGCACGGATATCCTTGGCGCTCGAATAGTTGCATCCAGGGGTTAGAATGTTTGCAGAGTGTTCGTCGCATTTGCCGCTAATCAAGGGCGCTCTCATTGTTTCTATTGCGCCGTAACTTAACTTTAAAGTCGACTCTCTTGTCGCTGAAATAAACTATCACTGACTTTTATCGCAACATTATTCTTACTTCAGATGCAAAAACATGATTAAAACCGATGGTGTAAATGAAAGCTTATAATTCGGCGATTTGTCGAAAGTCATTCAAGGCGAAGTGGCCGAAAACCTCACTTTAACGTATGTCTGCCAAATGGAACTATGTGCATTAAGACATGAGCCCTGAGACCCGAAGGAATATATGCATAACAGGGCTCACGACATAATGCTCATAGTTCCGTTGGCAGAAATACGTCCAATTTAAATGGAACTTTCGACGATTTATCGAAAAGCCACCCGGCATGACAGGAGCGGCCAGATTGTGTTAGATCTTTCCACTTTGTTACTGAAAACCAGTCATTTTTTTGCCCGTGAACTGGATTGCTCAACACGTTACTCAACAAGCACCAATAACAAGGGATGAGTGATGGACAGTGGCAAGGCGTGGATGATCGATTATCGATATTTCCCCATTTGAAGCCATGGTAAAGAATCGATTATTAGGGTATTCGCTGCGAACACCCTAATAATCGATCCTTTCCTATAGGTTTAAACGGTAGATCAATCGATATATCGCAAAGCACCGGCGATGGAGCCCCGAAAGTAAAAGTTTCCACCTGTCGCGGTCTCTATCTGTCTCTTTGAGAAGGAGACCCGACGCGACTTCCAAAAAAGCCGGTCCGAGCGCGGTGCAAAGGCGGACTTTTGACGGCGGCCGGTTGCGAAAGGGCTCCAGATCCAAAACAACGCATTTGCAATGTGTTCTAAGCGGGGCGTTCGTTGTTTCGGGATGTGCGGTTCGGGATAGGTGTACGAAACTGCGCGATCGGAATAAATAATCGAGTGGGATGAAGATGGAGACGGGACCGCGGTTAGGGCAGGTTTTCAACGTGAGCTATCCTTCCCATATAACTACATGCTTTTCAAGGTTCATGTCGAAATTGAGATACGCCCTTACGTCATAGGAGCGACGTTATTTGCGAAGCGGCATCCATCATAACCGTGACAGCTGACAACTGGGTAATAATTGCGGATAAGTTTTCTCTTTTCGGCGCGACTGTGCTCTGCGGCCGACCCCAAGGAAAAACGCCGTATGCACCTTCAAGTATTGCCAAATTTCCTAGAATAAATCGTGTGTTTTAGAGGACAGTTATTCATTTTTTTCCATGGAATTTTCAAATATTTCAAATTAAACTTCGAACGAAATTGTCTAAACATGTCGGAGAAAAATATTCAAAATTTTTCCAGTAAATTCGTTTTTCATTGAAGGGAATTTGGCAACTTCTAAGGGCTTATACGGCGTTTTTCATTGTTAAGACAGAGCTGGTCCATGGGTTGATCGTTAAAGCCTCTGCGCTCCTCTGTCGAACGACCGTCAACAAATAACACTATCTTACCCACTGAAGAATTAGTTCGATTATATGGACTGAATGGAGAATTTGCAAGAGAAGATGTAATGCTCTTCATGAAAGTTGTTAGTAAAGACATACCGTAAAATTTACCAACTTTGAATTACTTTCCGGTCAAAGGGCGTTATTCTAAAATTTTAATTATCTCATTAATAAATGAGATACGATGAGATGATGTTTTTTTATTTTTATTTATTTTCTTTATCTCTAGCCTTCTAAAGGGTACGTATAAATTTTCTAAAAAATGACGGAAACCCCAAAGTCAAAAGCCTATCAAATAGGGGAATGATGTTACCTTAAATTCTTGAATGGGGAATTTCCACGGTGTAGCAAGAGAATAAATTTAAAAAAAAGCAATTAAAAGTGAGAATTTTTGTGCAAATCTGCATTTTGCCTTTGTAGAATAATTTCATATCCTCTTAGTGCGTTTGTATTCCTCCGTAAGATTCAATGCAAGGACGAAGTTTAACGACTATTAGGTTTGAATTTTTGACGGGAGATTTACGTCTATAGCTTAATTCAAAACTCTCCCCTGCTCATTTTTTCCAGAGCACGATATGGTGCGTTTCTATTAAACTCCGTCCAACTGGACGTATTGCTATCAAACGGAACTATGTGCATCATGACGTGAGCCCCGTTATGCGTGTATTCTTAAGGGTCTCAGGGCTCATGTCTTAGTGCACCTAGTTCCGTTTGATAGAAATACGTCCAACTAAGAATTTCTTATGGCAAAATGTAGTCCACCTGCAAGCTTATCTTGGTTGGGGTCTTAATGTACCTCGAGCTCATTGGCAACTGTCAAGGACGCAACGTGCAAGCGTCGCGGCGCGGCGCCACAGAGCGGCCACCGCGCCGCGCCGACTTGAATTGAGTAAAGGCATTGAGGGAGTATTACAGGTGTCACGTTCAAAAATCGTGAGACCTTTCAGGCAAACTCCACCTCCCGCTCGGGCTCACCGGAGTCCGCGTTGTCAGGTTCGTCCCGCAAAGCGTTGGTATTCGAATGGTCAAAACTGGGTCGGCAATAATCGAGACATCGAACAAAGATGCTCGACAATCGAGACATAGTCGTCGCAGAAACGACGTAAGGTCCCACGCTGAGTTTTTCTGAGGAACGCATTTGGACCGCGTTTAGAATAAAGGAACCTAGCCACATCAGCCATTGCCAAATTTAACTGGGCAGTTCATTTTTTTACGAGAAAACGTTTTACAAAAATTTTAAGGAATTTACTTCGCACTATATGTATAGAGAAAATGGAGATGTTGCATGTGTGAGGAATTTGCAATTTGACCGTTGATTCTTATGTAAAAGTTTGCGAGAAACACGATGGTGCCACTGGTTTTCTCTGAAATCAACTCCCAAGCTCAAAAAAAGCTCTCAGGTTGAGGCCAAAATGGAGGGGATATCCCACGCTATCCTGAGAGTTCACATGTACATCAAGACAAACTCCCTGCAAAGATAGGGAGCAAATACATTGACAGGGTTGCCATGTTTTCAGTTTTAGATTCCCCAAATTAAGTGGCAGCCCTGTCAATGAATTTGCTTCCTATCTTTGCATGGAGAGTTTGTCTTGATGTAGAGGTGGACT